TGGCTATTTTAATGTTAGGTAAATTTTGAAAAATCCTAGATAGTTTGGGAGTGATCTCCTTGATAAAAGGTAAGGATGTAAAAATGAATTGGGTTGGAGCATCACTAGTTATATTGTCATTGACAGGGAGGGTTAAATTGGAAGTTAAATTATAGTTTTCCAGAGATGTTGGTGTACTGAACAAAATATTATTTATCAAACGGATTGGATAAGAATTTTCTATGAAAAGATTAGCAAGAATTTTAAGATTTTTACTATGGAAGCTTATGTCAGAGATTTTTAGCACTCTATTTTTCAGTTGCTTGACCAAGTTCACTTTCATCGAATGTTTATGATACGATAGGTAGTTCATGTATCTACCTGAGCTGCAAGGTTTTCTGTACCAGTCAATTAAGACTTTGTTATCTGTTGTTCTGATGAACTTTGTATCCAGGAATGGTACTGACTGCAAGTTATCTTCTGTTTCTATCGTAAACTGAATGTATGGGTCGTAACTGTTGAGAGTGTCAAGAATCTCATTGATGCCATCATGAGGCAATGAAACTATGATATCATCTACATATTTTTTCAAAAAATGAGGTTTAAAGGATAATACTGGTAATACTGTGTCCAATACATCATCCATCACATATGTTGCTAATATTGGAGAAATAGATGCTCCCATGGGAGTTCCAAAGGTTTGCTTATAAAATTTGTTATTGAAGGAAAAGTATGTGCTGTTAAAAAGGAAGGTTAATAATTTGGAAAAGGTTTCTTCATCAATGTTACAATGATTACTTATGTTGCTCCAATTCTTATGGATTGATCTCAGACATGCTTCTAAATAGACGTTACTAAATAAGGAGACTACATCCAGACTAGCTATGATATAGTTTGGAGGTAAAGTAGTGTTATTAAATTTTTCTGTTACTTCAAATGAATCTTTTATATAGTAGTCATTGTCATATTCATATGCTTTGGTCAAAATACTAGTTAAAAGGGAGGCTAGAGCCTCAGTAGGCGCACCTATAGAGGCTACAATAGGTCTCACCGATAGTGTAGGTTTATGTATTTTGGGCAAAGCATAGAACCTCGGAGCGATACCATTATAGCAAGTAAGTTTCTTTTTTATTGTTTCGTCAATAGTTTTTATTCTTAACTAGTCAGCAACGACAACCCTTTCTCTTTCTCTCTCTCTCTATATGCACCAGTATGGTGCAGCCAAGTGCAAGGATGGGCAACACTTCATCATCGAAAGAAAGAAACCAAGTTTTGCCCATCTTTGCACTTAGCTGCACCATACTGATGATGGGCCAAAAACCCGAAACACGTGCCTATAGTTTGCCCAGATTCATGCTAAGTTTCATTACCACGAGAAAGTAAAATTTGCGTGAAACAAAATGAACATTATCAATATGGTACTCATATTTTATGCTCACAAAAACTGCTCTTCATAACTATTGTCAAGAGAGAAAGTAAAATTTGCGAGAAACAAAATGAGCATTATAAATATGGCACTCATATTTAATGCTCACAAAATTGCTCTTCATAACTATTGTAAAGAAAAACATTTAAACATACTTACCCCTGGATTCAGAAATAGATCCAACTGTTTATGAAGTAGAACTTGATTTTGCTTGTTATTCAGGCAAAAGTTTTGTAGAAACTCATGAGCAAGTCTCATAAGCTCATTCATTCTTATATCTTCCTTTTCGTCATAAGGTATTTGTAATAAATCCAGTACAACAGTATGGACTCCAACATTCCTGAGAAGTCTCTGTTCATGTTTTTGAGGCTTTATGGTTCCGGCTGAAGAGCCTTGGATGCAAAGTTTATTCATTCTGATTAATATCTGTTGAATTTTTTTGTATTCATCGGCTTGTTCTGGATGTAAAGGTGGTCCAATATCCAAGTTGATTGAAGAACCTTGTTTTTCCAATACACTATTGAATTGAGTTTTACCAATTATGATATCTTCTTCATCATCTTTATTTTTCTTGCCAGTGGGTGTATGGTCTTCCAGACATTTAGATTTATAAACCCACAGCTCAGATTTCTCTACAGACTGTCTCAAAAGATCCAAATCAGATTTAATTTGTTTATATGATTCAACATCGTTGTCAGAAACCAATAACTGAACTTGCCGAAATGCTTGTAAAACCTCTTGACGTTGACTGAAATGCCGAAAAAGTAAATGCAAGGCACCGGATACCAAGGGAGGATAATCATGCATAGTTAAATGCAACAAAACTCTGAGAAAAGTTCTTCCTCCATGACCGTCCAAATCCAGAACAGCACATTCTTCACTACTGCCAAAAATGCCTTCAGCTTGAGTTCCAATAAGCTCTAAATCTATATTTTTCTGTCCCAGATTGACGTCCACTGCAGTTGCTTTTTCAGATTCATCAAATTCTCGTTTGAATATGCTCAGTAAACAACTGATGCGGTAATCGAGGCGGACGTCAAGAATAAACTTAAAATAACAAAAATGTTCACGAAATCATTGTATTTGAAATTTGAACAGCTGAAATATCTAGCCTAATACCTGTAATATCTCGATGATTTTCAATTTAGTGTCCATTACTAATGGGTACTCCTTCATATATTGTACTACATTTCCATGTTGTCCAGAACTGGAAGCGACAGTACTTTTACCATTTGAACCTAGAGTTAAAGAAGTCATGACTGCGCCCATATCACCAATTGTTCTCAAAACTCCACCTTCTGCTCTCATTGGCAAATGTTTCTCTGGAAATTGCTCGGCATTCTTGGAGTCAGGTTGCGTCTTAGAAACAACAGATTTTAGCTGGCTCCAGAAGAATAAATCAAGATGAGATAGGTCCGGGGATCTAGGAGGCCCTTCAATAGGACCTCTTCTTCCAATCCATTGATAAGCATAGTTATTATTTAACCATTCTTCAACTGGAACTGCATAATGAAGAGGTGCCCTATCCTATTGAGAATGTAATAAATTTTCTTCTAAAGATAAATTGCCGTGTATGTCTCTCCCATTATCTAATTCATAAACTATCTGAGGTTCCATTGATCTTTCCAGCATTTGAATAAGTGATAACCCTTCATTTTTTATTTTTGGTAAAATATCTACTATAAAGAAAATACATCATTAACACAAAGGGAGCATAAAACATACGTAAGCAATGAATGCTTGTGTCGTAGTGTTCCATTCTTCCATTTGAGTATCTCAATTTACTTTTTATATAGTGCGAGTTTTGAAAAATGAAAATAATAATATTGAGTATATGAATTCGAAATTTATCATAAGAATCATTTTATATTAGCTGGGTTGGTGAGGATAATGGGAAAGAGAATAACTAATAAGTGATAGGCGAGTGTGTATCAGTTGAAAATATAATTCAGTGTATTGCTTTAGAGAATAAAAATTTCAATATTCCCTTTGTAGTCATTTTTGTTATATGCTTAACTTTTAGAAGTAACATATTGTAAAGTTTAGGTCCGAAATAAAATGTAAATATTTGTGTATGACTATTTCTGAATTTGGGTATTCTGATAGATAGATTTCCAACAGATCTTGTATATTTTTCCGCCAGATGTTTTTCGTAGTCTTGTTTATTTTTGAACATCCACTGAAGACATTGATAGGAATTCTAAGCCCCTGACATTCAAGATCTCAATATCTTTGTGTTGGTGTGCTGAAACTAACCTGAGTTTCTTCAATAGAATTTTCATCAAAGTGTTCTGTGTTGTTTGAAGTCGACTAATTGTTTTATTATACATTCCCCCCGTGCGTTTATACAATATCTTAAGGCTAGAGATTTGTATAATATAGGAAGATATCTTTTATTCAAGATATCTCGGAATTGAAAGGAGCTTTTGATTAACATTCTGAGTCATTTCACTACATAATCAGAGTGAGCATCCCTACTCAGATGCTGATCTACCATAATACCTAGATATTTTATATTTATAAACTTTTCTATCAATGGACAAGCGCAATTTTGTGTTTCACACACTGTTTCATGTATACTCAAATTATCTTTTCCGGCTGATCATTTTGTAGTAAAGTGAAAGTTAGAAATTTTGTTTTATTAATATTTATACTTGGAAGGTTATAATTTAACCATAGCCTTACATCGGCTTACTACCTTCTGTGAATCTTTGTATACATTTTCCCATAAGTCACCTGTATTAATAATGGCAGTGTCATCTGCATATGATATGAGATGTCCTTTGAAGTTTTGTATTGTATTTGAACTATTAATATAAATAAGAAACTGAATTGGTATTTTTTTTTTGGCAAGGTCCAGGAAAATCGACAAACTTTTTGAGAACTATCCAAGGTCATTGCGATTTTTTTAATCAGATCTAATACAGCACTTTCTTTATTAGAGTTTGCGATGAAACCGAACTGACTTTGTGATATAACACGATTTTCACAAAAGAAAGTCATTATTCTGGTACTTCTCCTGGTCTGTAAGTTGAGTTGATGATGTGTACTAATGATTCTATCAGATATTTATGTATATTTTCTATGTATATTGAGGGTAAGCCATCGGGCCTGTTGAACAGCTGTTTTTGAATTTTATTATCATTTCAATTACTTCACTTTGCGTTACTGGCTTTAGAAATATTGTTGATTGTATAGTTGGGTCTTTGAGCAAATTGTCAGGAAATTGTCAAGTAGAGATCCGACTTTGTCTATTTTTTAGCCATATCAGAACCTATGCTGGCAAAATACTACTGGAAATGTTTTAATTTTTGATCTAAGTATTTTACTGGCTCACCATTTTTGTTTTTTATTTGAATGTTGGAGATGGATTGCTAAATTTTTTTTATTTGTTACATCTTTGATGAGTTCCCAGGTCTTTTTGCAGTCGCCATTCAAATAATCGAGTTTTAACTATTTCAACAGGTTAGTTCTAATGATAATGATATGTTAGTTCTCAACAGATAATATCTTGCCAATATTTCATTTTACTTTTTAAATAACACGCTTGGGTCACAATACACAATGCAATAATGACCTTCGACTTTTTCTATTTGTCAAATTGTTCCATAACGTAATAAAACCAGTGTTAATACTCCTTTTCCGTATTCTTAGTGGTCATCAGAGCCAACGGCGAATCACTGATTCGTAACGCCCGAACAACTCGAGTTTTTTTTGGTTCTTACAATTTTTAAGTGCCATTCCAATACGCGGTACTAAACTAGACTCCACACATTACTCGTTTAATCTGCCATTTCCTGGTTCTCATCAGCTAGGAACAGAATTTCATGGTTCTGTAGAATTCATTTTATTGTTTAATGGTATTCCAAAGGTGTAAGTCGGGACTGAACTGTTACGAATAGCTCACGATCTGGTGAAGTAATACATAATTTGAATAGGAGTAACGAGTAACTGTAATTTTTTCTAATATTTTCTGCTTCCTTGGCATATTCACACTTCATAACATATTCCGATGTTTTTTCAATATTAATGAGACAAAGACCACCTATAAATCAATAAACACTAGCTGAGCCTAATATTTAAGGAACATTTCGGAATAAATGAGGAAGCATGTTCATGACAAATTCACTTGAACAGTTTCACATTTGTTAAGCATGTATCCTTATTGTATTTATTACAGCTTAAAAGGGTTATTTTTTAGAATCAGTTCGATCGATTTTCTCTATCCTAAAAACCACATTTTGACTTAGATTAGTTGAAAAAGTTATTTGTGTNTGATAAAGGAAAATTAACTATATTTATTACATAGGAAAATATACATATTCATCAACATATGTTGAATATCTATCCATCAGATTCAGATTTATATCACCCATGAAAATATTTTGATCTCTTTTTCCAAGTGTGGGGAGATAGTTACGCAAGTGATTTATGTAGACTACATATTTCTATACACAGGTTGTGTACATATATTTCTATTAGTGTTGCGTCTTGTTTTATGGGTGCTTAATGGCAAAGCACGTTGAATTTTAATAGCTTTATTCAACTCAAGACACAAATTATAACATGAAAATATTGTAAAGTATTATAAAATTGAGTAGTGCGTTGTCTCTACCGATGCTAATAGTCTAATACCGAGGTCGGGTGCTAGGAACGTCCCTCTCCTCTTGACACTCAAAGGGCCTGGCTTATGATGGCGTGAACAATTGGTACTAACTATGTTTCTGTAAATTTGACAATTGTAGCTTTTGAGTTTATACTCTCTTTCACGTATAGGACAACACCATCATTTTGATTTTTTCCTCGAGTAATTATAATATATTATATATCCTGGTATTTCATAGTCAATGATTGCCTCAATATTCCAAGTTTCAGACGGAACTAAGACATCAGTATATTCGTTTAATTTTTGTAAATATACTAATAGCTCATCAGAATTTTCATTGATACTACTACTGGCTATATTCTAGGGTTTCTATTTTCTCATTCTCATGTAATAAATCGATAAAATTATAACATTGCAAGAAAATGTGCAAGCACGGTTCGTATTACAAGAGGTACACTCCCAGCTGTATTTAAGTATTTGTATATACATGAACCTATTGTTGGATACCTTTCCATATCATAGATTGTTATGTATACGTAAGAGTCAACTTTGTAATCTAAAGTCCGTATTTCTTCCTATCATTATTATTTGTCATTCATATATCAATATTTGGAAATTTAGTTGATAGCTTTACATTCCTATCTAAGGTTCAAGGATTTATGTATTTAATCTCAACTGAACTCAATTATATTATCAAACTTGTTTATTTATTCGTACACGTCCGACAACACAATAATGCTATCGAAACGTACAAAAATCACAGTCATAAGTCATAACAGATACAGTTAAGTTCAGACAATATTACAGTTCACCTCTTGTCGTATACCGAAGTTAGTAAAATATCTATGTATAAATAAAGTTTAATTAACCCGATTCACAGAATAATTGCACCAAAATTGGCGCAGTCACGGTAGGATCATCGTCACAAATTTGGAAGACATCGCCGATAAAATCAGCAGATTGAAAGTGATCCTTCCAGCAAATTTGGCAAGTTTCAACTTCTGAGAGGACGACGGATCATCTCCATCGATGAAGAAGAGTTTCGGAGTGGCAAACAGTGGACTTCAGACTACGGAAACTTCTTAACTGGTCACACGGATATAGAGTGAGACAAAACTGTACACTTGATATTTACTTCGATCCGTCACATTGCTTTTGTTGTGCTCAAATTAAAGTAAACCCAAAATCCAAATTCAAATTCAGAATCTCATATAACATTTCACATATATAAAAATCAAGCCTCAAGCAAATTCGACTAATAACGTAGAATTGAAAATGTCTTCCGTTTGTTCATTGATTCCAAAATGTTTTGATGGAAACAGATTAGAATTGCCCGAATTCATAAGTAATTGCGATAATGCAGATACCTTTGGAACTAATGATCAAAAAACAGCACTTTTAGCATTTATTCTTTCAAGGTTAACTGGCAGTGCCAAAGCTCAACTCTCTGGAAAAGAAGTTAATTGCTAGATGACGACATTACAGCAAACATTTTGAAAAATCTCCCAGAAAACACATTACAACTCTTAACTAACATTAATGTATCATTTCAATCAGGAAACTTTCCTGATTTCCTGAAGGTGTCATTGGTAATATCACTTAATAAAGGTGGAAATCAGGACGACCCCTCGCATTATCGGTCTATTTGCCTAATTTCCACATTAGGAAAATTTCTAAAAAAACTGGTCAAGATAAGGATAATTGTATTTCTGTCGAAACATAAAATCATTAATAAAGAACAGTTTGGCTTTCAAAGTGGCAAAGGCACTAATGATGTAATTTTCTCAGTCATGGAAAAAGTTTATACTGGAATCAATAGTGGGGAGGTTGCTGCAGCATTATTTTGCGATTTTTCGACGAATTTCGACAGTGTGGATCACGAAATACTGTTGCGGAAGCTTCCCTACTACGGCTTCGGAGGAGTGATACTGACCTGGTTCAGCTCATATTTCTCAGGTCGTAGTCAGATAATGAAAACAACCCATCGCTCAGAAATTAGGAAAATGCGTAATGGTGTGCCTCAAGGTTCAATACTAGGGCCAACATTGTTTCTCATCTACCTCAACGATTTGACAAGTATATATATCTCAGGGAAATTCACACTATTTGCAGACGATACTACCATTTTTTGGCAATCGGACAATGCAAATGATTTAACTAA